CTTTTTGTTTGTTTTTATAGAACATATTTAGATTGTATGTCCTTGTATTCGTATGCCTACCATGTACATATGTATGTAGATGATAGTTACTGCATAAATTCTAAAATAAATGTTCATGGTTTTGTAAAACCAAATGACGATTTGCAATTGTCACCACAAAAACCCTAAAACACATACATATGTACATACATGCATTCACGATACACTCTCACAGTTATTAAGCCCATATGCCCGGTTGTCTAAGGGTCAGGCACAACGTTAGTTTAGTAATTTACTGAAAAGAAGTATCAACATCTCCAAACTGAAACGTTCTAAGTGTACAATGTTCTTGCAGTTTTCAAGTTCTACTTCTTGAATTTGAAATTTTGTCTAAATTTGGTTCATATCCGCTGATCATTTTACCGAAATTATATGAAAAACTTTGAAAGCTTTTCCCAAAAAACTTTGTTAATTTACATGTGTCACATTTTAAATTGTTGGTGTAGACTAAGGTCGGATCATCAAGAGTTATAGAGCTAATAATATCAAGACATATCGATCATTGCATCATGTTCAAAATAGACAAATATATTCTAAAATTTGGTCAGATTAGGTCTTTTTACCTTGAAACTGCAGGGTAGTTGTGCAAACAAAACATCTGAGAATTACAAAAATAACAACTATTTCTAATACAAACATTTAATACATACATACTTACATACATACGATGGTATATCGACACCTAATATTCAAAAAATGCTAACTTAATCTTGTATCAAAGTGAGTGTGAGAACTAGACATTTTTGAGTTAACACCTTTTGAATATAATGTCTCGATATGTAAATACTATTAAACCCATACTCCCAAATACATTTCCAAACGCATAATATTATTTTTAAACTAAAGAGGTGTCTAAACATAGATAGGAACCACAGGATACCAATAAGGCTGCTTATTGGATTTACGAAAACTATAAAGTTATTACAAAGTTGTTAATCTTCCAACATGCAGATATGTAGTAGAGAAAAGAAAATTATTTTGAAACTAAGATATTTGAAAACTATAGATAAGTACCTTTAAAATAAAAGGAACATATCTTCCAAATAAAAAAATTCTGCTTTAACTTTTTTACTCTCAATTTTCATTAAGTCCTTTTACACTTTAATAACATTCTCTCTTCCATTTGCACATCAGTAATTAATTGTCATTGTTGCAACATGTCACCCATTTGAAACCGCCTTAAATAAACAATATTGCCATACTACGAAAAGTAACAATAACAAGATAAATGAAGCCAAAAGCAAAGAAGATGAAGAACAGGGGCGGGGGGAAAGAGTAATGAAGAGAAAGGTCAATAGTATGCAAAGTCATTAGTTGTGATGTGTAGTTCTTTCGTTTTTTTCTTAATGGAAGAAATTCAATCGGAAAAGCCACACATTGACAACATAACGTTGTCCAAGGTAACCCAGCAAAGTTTTATGTGAAGAAGAAAATTGAATCTATATATAATATCCAATCTTTTTTTAGTCATGAATCATGATTCAGCGCTTTAGGTTCAATCTGTAAGCAAATGTCTAAAGAGATCAAATCTCCTATGCGACCAATTGTATCACCCAGACGTTTGACAACAGGAATAACGAACTTAGTGCCAAAAATTTGCTGGGTTTATAAGAGATATTTGAAACATGACCAACACTTTTGTGGTTTCCTTGGCATGGGCATGCAATTGTTTGTTTGTGCAAGTCTCTTTGTGTGTGTGTTTGTTTGTATAGGTGTTTGTGTAAATTATATTTACTTAACTTACTCTCTTTCCCCCCAAACAACTCCACAAACTGCAAAGACTTTTAATTCATGAAGAGAATGTGTTAAATGTGTAATTTGGATGGTGTGTTTGTTTGACCACTTTTTCTGCCACTTTATAATTGATTTTATGCGACAAATCTTCACATATTGTCTTCAAAACCCCTCATACATAAGAATTGTTGTTGCTATTTTTTTCTCTCCCATCTTCTTGATAATGCAACAAATACTTTAGCCAGAATTGTTTTCTTTCAATTCTTATCAATTATCGATGAAATGTCTCAAATATCAACAGAGTCCAGACTACACAAAAAAATTTACAACCAATACACATAGACATCAACTTAAAGAAAGAAAAAAATTAAACCATTTTGAAGGGACTAGGAAACTTAATGCATTGTCATATAAAACCATCGGAGAAAAAAAGCACACACTGCTGGCAACTATAAAAAAAAACTGAACGGAACAAAGAGAAATAAGAACCAACAGGCACAGACCAGCAGTAACCAGAAGAGGCGACAATGATGCCAAGACATGTATCAGAGGTTATACGTATGTGAACACATCATCTATATTCCAGAAAGTATAAATTGTCCAGCCAGCTAAAAATTGACTCCATCATCCATAGAAATACATACATATGTACGTATGTATATACATACTTGTATAGTTGTATAGAAAAGACTATTGTCCTTGTGCAATGTGATGTCATGATTTAATGAGTACGAATTGGTTCTATAAGAAATCTGATATAAATTGAAGTAATTTTAAACACTTTTGTCTTCCTACTTACACTTAAAAAAGGAACAAGACAGCAGCCGTCTTGCCATTTTGGTCTAATGCAATTTAGTTAGTTTTTTTAGTTTTTATTACCATGAACACCTTTTTACAGTATTTGATTTCAGTATAGCGAACGACACGCACGAACGCAACAACGAAACGAACGAACGAACGAACGAACGAACGAACGAACGAACGAACGAACGATACGACACGAACGAACGAACGAACGAACGAACGAACGAACGAACGAACGAACGAACGAAAACGAACGAACGAAACGAACGAACGAACGAAACGAACGAACGAACGAACGAACGAACGAAAACGAACGAACGAACGAATGAACGAACGAACGAACGATAACGAACTAACGAACGAACGAACCGAACGAACGAACGAAACGAACGAACGAACGAACGAACGAAGAACGAACGAACGAACGAACGAACGAACGAACGAACGAACGAACGAAACGAACGAACGAACGACAACGAACGAAACGAACGAACGAACGAACGAACGAAAGAACGAACGACGAACGAACGAACGAAACGAACGAAACGAACGAACGAACGAAACGAACGAACAACGAACGAACGAACGAACTAACGAAAAAACGAACGAACGAACGAACGAAGAACGAACGAACGAACGACGAACGAACGAACGAACGAATCAACGAACGAACGAACGAACGAACGAACGAACGAACGAACGAACGAAACGAACGAACGAACGAACGAACGAACGAACGAACGAACGAACGAACGAACGAACGAACGAACGAAAACGAACGAACTAACGAACGAACGAACGAACTACGAACGAACGAACGAACGAACGAACGAACGAACGAACGAACGAAACGAACGAACGAACGAACGAACGAACGAACGAACGAACGAACGAACGAACGAACGAACGAACGAACGAACGAACGAACGAAGAACGAACGAACGAACGAACGAACGAAGAACGAACGAACGAACGAACGAACGAACGAACGAACGAACGAAGAACGAACGAACGAACGAACGAACGAACGAACGACGAACGAACGAACTGAACGAACGAACGAACGAACGAACGAACGAACGAACGAACGAACGAACGAACGAACGAACGAACGAACGAACGAACGAACAACGAACGAACGAACGAACGAACGAACGAACGAACGAACGATACGAACGAACGAAACGAACGAACGAACGAACGAACGAACGAACGAACGAACGAACGAACTAACTAACTAACTAACTACTAACTAACTAACTAACTAACTAACTACTAACTAACTAACTAACTAACTAACTACTAACTAACTAACTACTAACTAACTAACTAACTAACTAACTACTAACTACTAACTAACTAACTAACTACTAACTAACTAAACTAACTAACTAACTAACTAACTAACTAACTAACTAACTACTAACACTAACTACTAACTAACTAACTAACTAACTAACTAACTAACTAACTACTAACTAACTACTAACACTACTAACTAACTAACTAACTAACTAACTAACTACTAACTAACTAACTAACTAACTAACTAACTAACTAACTAACTAACTAACTAACAACTAACTACTAACTACTAACTAACTAACTAACTAACTAACTACTACTACTAACTAACTACTAACTACTAACTAACTAACTAACTAACTAACCTAACTAACTAACTACTAACTAACTAACTAACTAACTAACTACTACTAACTAACTAACTAACTAACTACCTAACTAACTAACTAACTAAACTAACCTAACTAACTAAACTAACTACTAACTAACTAACACTAACTAACTAACTAACTAGGTAAAAACAACAGAGCCTTGCGGTACCTCTGAATTAATTTTGAACTCAAGATCCCATCTATAACAACATGTTAAGTTCAATCTTCGATAAAGCTCGAATTAATCCAGAGCAATTATTATCGACACCAAATGCAATAAGTTATGATAACTTACATGCCACACTCTATCAAAACTTTGGAAATATCTAGAGCCACTTAACTTTAGTTAAAATGTTGTATGGAATGATACCATTTTTTCGAGCGGAAGGCAAGTAGGTCTACCGTAGAGTGAGCTCTACAAAAGCCATACTGTCGGTCGTTTAGTAAATTAGTGTTCTCTACTGCTTGACAAAATGGAAGTTAATCATACTTTCCATAACTTTTGATTCAGAGCTATTACACTCTCTCTTTTACAATAATTCTAAAGAGATAAGCTAATGGACAAGCTAGCCTTGAAGAACACTTCTTCAAGACTATTGGTATGGTATACCATCTGGTTCAGAAAACTTGTTGCTTAATATATCGTTTTTTAAATATCTAAAGTTAAGTATAAGAAAATATTAAAAATTACTTTTTAATTTATATTTAAATAAAACAAATTTAAATTGCACACTATATATCCTGGCA